AGGGGAGGAAGAGAGGAGGAAGAGGAGGGGGAGGAGGGGAGGAAGAGAGGAGGAAGAGGAGTGGGAGGAGGGGAGGTGTAAGGGCCCACGGCTGCCCCACGGCACTAGCTCACTCCTCCCTTCCTCTGCTGGGACCCCCTCTGGCCCTGGCTCACCCTCGGATGGTCTTGAGGACAAAGTCTCGCTTTAGGCACTTGATGTTTTCCCAGATAGCAGAGTGCAGACCGTCCTCCTGCTGAAGGTGCTTCTCCAGCCACTCCACCACCACCTGGTTGTTGTCCCAGAGGTATCCCTGGGGAGAGGGAAGGCGAGTTAGCCACGGGGAGGGGGCAGAGCGAAGGGCGGCGCGGGCAGACACCAGGGCTCCGGGCCTCAGAGAGCTCGTGGGATGGTGCCAGATAGGTGATGGAGACCCGGGGCCAAAGATTTAGTCAGTTCTCCCACTGGGACTGATAAACAGGGAGAAGAAAGGTCCCCATCTCTCCGGAGCACAGGCCTGGCGGTGCCGCCCACTCCACAAGAGCAATCCGGCCCCCACACTCTGCTCAGAGCAGCGGGGAGCCTCCCTTCCTGCGGATCCTACTAAAGAGTGAAGGCCGGCGCGTGCCGCCCGAGGCCATGGGGCTAAGGCAGAGAACCTTCACGGCGCCCTCCGTCTCCATGAACCAGCGGCGCAGCATCGACTGGATGTGCACGTGGCTGAGCTCGCTGTTGGCGTGCAGGATCTCATTCTTGACGATGTCCTCGAGGAGGAGGCGGCGAAGACGCCAGTAGAGGAATGTGCGTGCATTCTTCCACTCCAGAATGTCCTGAAAAAGAAGCCAGACTCCTGAGTGGAGAACCAGCAGTCCTCTGGGAGAAGGTAAGGAAGAGGCCTGGCACAGGATGCAAGGGGCCCGGGTTCCAAGGCCCCTCCCGGCTCTGACATTCTAGGTTCCAAGGCCCCTCCCGGCTCTGACATTCTAGGTTCCAAAGCCCCTCCCAGCTCTGACATTCTAGGTTCTAAAGTCCCCCCCAGCTCTGACATTCTAGGTTCCAAGGCCTCTCCCAGCTCTGTCATTCTAGGTTCTAAAGTCCCTCCCAACTCTGTTATTCTAGGTTCTAAAGTCCTTTCAAGCTCTGACATTCTAGGTTCCAAGGCTCCTCCCAGCTCTGACATTCT